TCCTGTTCACAGCGGAGACATAGTCCTTGAGCGACTCCGCTACCGCTATGGCCACACCGTTCCGCTTGGTGTCTTCCCCATTGTAGTAGAGTTTGACACCTTCCCGATTTCCCTGGCCTTAGCACCTTTCCATCGCGTCTCCTGAAGGCATAGGACTTGGATATTCCTGCGCGTCATCAGATCAGCAACCTCTCGGGACTTCCCAGTTAGCGATCCTACGTTCAGAGTCCCAATTCGAACTAGCTTCTTTGGCCGAGGCCGTTCACTCCTCGGTAGCCCTCGCATACTGACCACAGAACTCGGGCGGGGTTCTGCGCGCCACTTCCGGGTGACGTCCTAGCTTTATCACTGATTCTTTTTCGACTTTAGACATGTTGGTGTGACTGGGGTCTTCATCAGCCGGCCTGTCAACCTGGGCCTGACGCTGGTACTAGAACCATTTTTGCAATTTTTGCAAGGCATGGTTAACCTCGGCAGGGATCGAACTCGCGGTTTTCAGAGGTGCAGACATGAGTCTAACCTCTTAACCACTCGGCTATCCCTGCCTAACAAAGTGCTGAACCTATGATTCTATAAAATTTATCACGAGTCAACGAATTTTGCTGTCTACCTTCTTCTTTGTTCGTGTTTCTACCATTATTCGGGGTGCTGGTTTGCTTCACATAACATGCAGTTTTCGTTCTTTGGGAATTCACAGCCATTGATCTACATATGAGTCTGAAAATCATGAGAATTTGTCGATATTGCTCCTTCGAGAAGATCTGTGAACTCCAAGGCATCGTCTATTTCGTTCACTGCAATGGATGTGGAGAAAAATATGTGGGTCAGATGGCAAGACCAGTGAAGATTCGTCTGAGTACACAGAAGAGCGTTGGTTAAATTCGCAGCCTCCCTCCAGCAGTTTCTTGAGACACCATGCGGTAAAGCATGAGAAGGAGAGCTTCCGACCTTCGATGTGAGCGTTCTTCACAGACGTTCGGAGTGGCTGCTGTTAAGAAAAATCATTGGAATGTAGCAAGTACACAATGTAAGTGCAAAGCAAGAAATTAACATTTACATTACATTGACAAATGTAATTGTTACAGGTGGCTCTGCCAGCTTATGAACACGGTTTCTGGTGAGCATACTTTTGTGTTACCGAGCTGTTACTCTCAGTGGGCACCTTCACACTTGACATGCGAGCAGATAGCAAGTGAACTAGACTATTTGAGGGAGGATGTTCTTCATGTTTTTAATGCATTTCCTTAGACAGCATTTTGCGATCGAACAGTGGGTTTCTTGCGTTCGAACCATGAAAGGTAACAGTAAGGTCGAATCGCACTTAGCATCGGTGATCGTGACCGGACGTTAGGCTGGTGAATCCTTAGGTTCGCTAAAACGTATTCGCGAGGTACGAAGCGTGCACAGGTTCGAACTATGCTCTAGCAGTGGTGTACCAGCGGTTTGAAATGTTCCACCGATTCGACAATGCTTGAAAATGGCGGAAGTTTAGTGCATTGCTGGTACCCGCAATTCCTCAGCGATTCCGCGGATTCGCCAAGTCTGCGGTACCCGACAGGAGGCCCGTCGCGCAGCTAGAAGGCAGAGGCGCAGACGGGTCAGCAGACCAGTCGCGGCGCGTACCTCAGCGTCAAATTAGGAATAAGTATGTATCAATTAACGTCCACTTCGCGCACAAACGCGCTGCGATCGTCCGCCACCCATCTGCCGACATCCACTTCTCGCGCTTCTGTCGACGCCGTGCAGCACTGTAGTTCACCATATAAGAAACGAGAACACAAACCAAACGCAACACGGACGAAATGGACCGTGAACCCTGCCCATATAGAAAAGCGCAATGTGACTTCAAGAGTTCTTGACAGAATTTTCGGCTTGTTCCTTTACAGTGTACCAATAATCAAGAAAAACGTCCTTGAAAACAGTGACCCACACTTGTTCGATCGGGAAATGTGCCTTTAACGTTTTGCGATCTTCATAGATTCGATATATTTGGTTTAGGTCGATGATCAGCAAAAGCAAAAGCCCTGTAACATTCTGCCACAACGACCTGCAAGAAGGTTAGCTCTCGAAGCTTCCCTTGTCATTCGCCCCGATATCAAACTATCCTATTTAGGGAATATACTCCTCCCGAAGGCCTCATCGAACATCAGGCTTCCCTCCGTTAGTGAAGATTCGCTAGAGTCACTATGTTTGGCAACTTCCAACCCAACTGACCCTCGATTGGTGTTGATCGATTTCGAATATGCCAGTTACAATTACAGGTACACATTTCTTAGAAAGCCCTATTTTGATATCCAAATTAATGAGTGATTCCAGAGGTTTTGACTTTGCAAATCATTTCGTTGAGTACTGCATAGACTACGACGTTCTGGATCACCCCTATTATGAAATTCGTACAGAAAACTTTCCGGGTGAGGAAGAGGTGAGCGAAATTGTTGAAAACGAGTTCACATGTCACTCACAACGATCAGCGAGGGCTCCAATTTCAGTTGACAGAATTTTTTGTAAGCTACTTACGGGAACTTGGAGGAATCGCTGAGTGCCATTTGCGTCGAGAAGCCAAGAATCTCATAAAGGTAAGGGCACAATTCTTCAACATGAGTATAAAGGTGATTCGGAGCAACCGTGGCCTTTCCCAGGCAAGTCGTCCTACGATTCCTTCCCTGGAACCATGCAATTTCCAACATGAGCGACCTCAGCACCCAGGAAGCTGTCCCAGGAATGGGGCTTCATAGTCGCGAGAAGCGACATTTACGGGAACCCCGCCATCGGCCCGCTTTCCCAGCCTCAGGGCCGAAGGCTCCCTTCTCAGGCTACAACTCCACAACAACAGCATCACATAAACGAACTTATTGCGTATATTGGGCCCTAGGCCTGGCGCTCCCCCAAATTGACCCTTGCTACAATACTATGTACACAGCACAACTCCAATTGGGCTCAGTTTGTCTGCCATAACCTTGTCATCATCCTTAACAGTTAGTTTTCTTTCGGAATGGAGAAGCCAAGCCATGTTCATATAATCGTCGTGATGTAGAGTCCGGACTACAAGAGGCAAGGGTGCCCGCAGCTGATAGCGTCTCTCGGTGTAGCGGGACACTAACCCACTAGCGCCCGAATGGACAGGGCTGCATGTTTGACCATGCTGCCGAGTGCACCAGGCACTTTGAGCCGTACGCCTTCGTCGCTAGCAGCGCATCACTCGAGGGAAGAGGGAAGTGCGCCTGTAGGCAGAGGCGGCTCGCAGAGACATTTTGAGCCGCACGCCTTATCGCGTTAACAGCGTATCACCTCTCAAAGAGGGAAGTACACTTGCAGACAGAGGCGGCTCGCAGAGAAACATAGAGACCTTCGGAAACGGCCAGAGCCTGGGATATAGAAGCGTTGATTCTTTTTGCCCGTGATTCGGTTACTTAATGCGACTCTAATGGATTGCTGCCCGCTTAGTGCTAGCCACTACATCTCTCTGCTGAATAGCGTAGCCCACTCAGAGGCCGATGAGGATGGGCTTGGACTGGCGCGAGCGCGCGGTATGCTTTAGCCACTGGGTCTTATTCTCACTGCTAAAGGCGCATCGTCCGCACCCTTTCCGGAGAGCCCGCCTGCCTTTCGAACGTAAAATCCCTTCTTCGATCTTCGTCCTTATCGTGGAATCTCATCTGTAAGGACACAATGAAGCCCGCAATTGTTTGACTCACATCATTCACATATAATGTCTGGAAGAAAAAGAATATGTTAAATAAGTTCACTAGTAATAAAACAGTAATGAAAAACAGTCTCAAAAGTCTGAGTTAAAAGAATCTACGTTTGTCAACATGTGGCATTGATGCGCCAATTTTCATCATTCTTTTCAGGAGACACTTCCATTTGTTCCCGTGTCACACTTTTTTTGGGGAGTTTGGGGTCTGCTTCAAGTCGAGCTCTCTCCAGTAGGATTTGGATTCGCGGTACGTTTGAGCGAGGAAAAAAATTCATTTATCTTTTGCGATGCGTCCGCTTACCCTTTTTCTGCGTATTTGATATTGCTAACACAATTTAGTGCGCGTAACCCTCACCCAACTTAGATTATACCCTCCCCTTCAAAAAGCGAGAAAGTGTCGGGTGCAGACCATGCACCACAAGTGACGACGGCCTTCACAAAATGTTAATGTTTTCTGCCAATGAAATGATTAGCCTGTTGCAGTTGTATTCTATCGATTGTCACTAATTACAACTATCATTTACCAGAAATCAGCTATCACTATGAACAACTTCTAGGGATTTTCATCGAAATTTGTTCATGGCTGTGGATTTGGCGAAATAATTGCCTTCAGAGTAATTCGACCCGTAGAACACAGATATCGCATTCGTTTAGCGCGAAACGCCTTACCCGCGCCGCACTGGCCGGCGAAAAAGGCGCCAGAGCACCTTGGATCACCAAATTCGCTGTAAACTCATAGCCAGGAGTTGTTTGACCAGTAGAACGTGACTATCCACGGGAGCCGACGCAAAACTAATGCGAATAATGTCGGTGCCTGTGGCTCGGGCGCCAAGCGACTCGGCTCAGTTTTTCACTAGTGGAGCAGTAAATGGTGAGGTACCACAGAGGGCGTACATGAAAAGGTATCACTACGGGATCAGGTGGATGAGCCCAATCCACTTCAGAAATTTGCGCGTGATAAAAACTATGGCTCAGTTTTGCTCTGTATTCCAGAGGAATCAACGAAAGTTCGAAAGAGCCAGTCTTTGCTCAAGTTCCTCAAGGAGCCCATGTAGCCTATATGGCTGCATCAGCTCGCTTTGAAGGCGGTGCGCTAGTTTTCAACCCTTTGGCGACAATGGCACCCACCGGTGGGTGCCACTATGTCCGTCGCGTGGGACAATGGCACCCAATGGTGGGTGCCACCTTAAAATTTTCTTCTTTGCACATTAAAACATTTTAACATTTCGTAATTTAAGCAAGGTTCACAGAAATGTTCAATAAGAGCTGACTTATGGAAACTTTAAGAATGTGTGTTCAGCCCGCCAGCACGTTAACAGGTTTTCATGATTAGGCTAAACACAAATTA